GTTCTCTTTTATGTTGCTGTTGTCTAATAAAAGTACTTTTTAAGATCATTTGAGACGAGGACATTATACTTTTAAACATCACTATATGGCCCATTTACAGATTTAATGCATAATTTGAAAAAAATGTTCCGAAGTTGAGAGGACCAGTTGGTAACCAGCGGACCTCCGAAGCTAACAGTAGCCAGGGCTAAAGTTAGCCCGTCTGCAGTATGAAGGACCGCTGAATCTGATGGCGATATTTTTGTTTTATTTGGTAAAATGTTCATTTAATGTATGTTTATCAGACTGTGTTCATTATTATTCCCCCAATAAATGAAAAAAGTAATAATGTATTATTATCTAGAGATTATTAATAACAGGAGGTGAAATGCAGCTCCAGACAAGCCGAGCGTGTGATGTCCACACTTTCCTGCGTTCTTCTCAAGAACATACTTGCCGAGGACATGAGTCTGTACTCATGTTCTTGTGAATTGAGAAACAGGCAAAAATTCACTCTCCAACTATACACCTGTAACGGTCACCACTACTCTGCGAAGATTCTTATTTCAACCGTTGCGCATATTAGCTGCAACACACGAATCAAGATGCTATGACCAAAAAAATTTGATTGACAGATGACCGTTGATATATGATTGACCAAATTTAGGTGTTCAAGCTGACATATAACTAACTGACCTGCAGAAGATAATGAAAAAAAAAAAAAAAAAACAGATTTTAAGACAGAATTTTTTTTTTATAGTAATGTTTTAAATTTTGGGACAATATCATCTGTTAAAGAGTACATTTATATAAATGTTTAAGCCGGAATGATATTACATTTAAATATGACTTCCCTACGACTTTAAAAAATCTTTTCCATGTAAATATTTTCAAAGGAAAAATACATGAATGAGTTTTGGGTTTTGTTACATAAAAAAAAGAAATATCCTTTATCCTAAAGATGAATAGATTATTGGCAAAATATGAGAGCTTAAATTTAAAAGATTCATTGAAAATCTAAGAGGAGAATCGCAAACATGTTTCTGGATTGAACCTAAACCCCCTGGTTTGAAAATATGTTCAAGGAAAGTTAACACGATTTATACTCCGTTAAAATGAACCAAGAAGCGTGTTGAAGGTTAAATAAATCATATTGTTGAACTGAACCTTGAAATTAGACATTAAACCCACATAAACTGAGCCACGTTAAGTATTCTAATTGGTTTCACTTGCCCTCCCTAATATGGCGGCATCACTGACGTATGAGAAACTAGCAGAGCGGCAAAAGTCGCCCAGTTTGCGTCTCCGCGAGTTTGTGGTTAAAATGAAAGCTGTCACCTGCGTGTCAAGTGGGCGACAGCAACGTTCAACACCCACAGAAACCAAATACACCAAATTATAACAAATAACCAACGTTTTGGTTCACATTTCGTGGTTTATTTTAAAAGGCCGGGGCTTTGTTTACATCTGACAGGGAAGCCACGCGGTATCAGGCCGTGGCGGAAGCCCCGCCCCCTGCAGCTGTCACCGCAGCAGACACCCCTCCTGCTTCACCGACGAAAAAGCAACACTTAAACTTTTTTTTAACCTCTTTTTGAAAAGTTAAAAATAATATCTGTGAGGATGTAACGTCCGAGTGGTTCGGATTCACCACGCGACGAAAAACGGAGCGAAAATCAGAGCGGCGCGGGAGGAGGTTTAGCGCCAATTTAAATGAACTCCCGCGGGTGACGTCACAGAACTCCGACTCATCTGTTCTGAGGCGCGAGCCGGAGCAGCAGGCTGGACCAGAACAAAAGCGGCGGAGGAGTTCTAACCGCTGCCACGAGACCACCTTTGAACACCTGAGCCGAAGAAGAGTGAACTTCACGGGCAGAAAGCCTGAGGTAAAGTGTCGGCCTGTTGAGATGTCCGAAAGTTGGAGCAGAAAGTGAAATAAAGCTTAAACTCTCCGAGTCCGGTTTTGTTGGTTCTGATGGGTTCCGGTTCCGTTCGGTTCGCTCGGCCTGTATTTTCTGTCTACTGTAGTTTTTTGTTTTACCCGCGCCTGGTTCGGTTTAGCTTTGTCGGAAGGAGGGAGCAGAGCGTGGGGGGTTGGGACTTTTTCTTTAAATCAAAATGTGTTTTTCCTCTTAAAATTCCTCCTAACCTGTTGTTATTTTCCCGCCACAGGTTTGCTCTGAAGCTTTCCGAGGCGCGTGAGAGGATAATGCGGGGACAACAGTGAGTGTAACTCTTTGGTTTCCATGAATGACCTGGGAAAGTTGCAGCCTTAGCTCTCCGGCTAACCTGTGGCCTGGTGTCACCGGGACTCTTCATTTGGGACCTCAGCTGCCGGTTTAACCTGCTTCTTCCACCTGGTTCCGTTTGACACCTGAGGTTTAAAATCTGATGTGTTTTTGTTTCACAGGGAAGAGAAGGAACCAAAGTCTGCTGCTGAAGGAGCTCCTAAAGACAACCCAGGGCGACAGAGGAAGAGGAAGGCAGATGTTGCCATTGTAAGCAGCCTGTCTGTCTCTAAACACTAGTTCACTTTGGCTGCGTTCACACTGCAGCCTGAAGTGACCCAAATCCCATTCTTTGGCCCATATGCGACCTGGATCTGATCTTTTCATGACAGTCTGAACAACACAGATCTGATTTTTTTTTTACAATCTGACCCAGATTGGCTATGTGGTCCTTAATCCGATATGAATCTGATCTTTTCAAATGTGACCTGTGTCTGAACAGCCAGGTGGCATTCATCCGACCTGAACGCCATTAATAGCCGATAATGGTCACTATTCTGGGTCTTGCTATGAAGAAGTGGCAAGAAGAACTACAAAAATGGCTGATAATGCAGAGAGCAGTATTCATGTTAACCATCACATTGTGTTTTTAAAGTGGAACACCATTTTTTATTTTACATTGGGCGCTTGATTTTAGCCGTTCTGAAGATATTCCGTTAGGTTATATTCAAGTAATGTCTTCCTATGGGCGACGACTTGAAGGCACAAACTAAACTGTTCATAATTTATTCTTTATGGTACGCCAGCATTCATAATATGTCGGCGAATCACTGTCCCCCAGACATCCGCGGTTATATTTTTTGTATTTATATATTTTTTTAAACAAAGCGGAGTGTGTATAACGTCATCCTCATGCGCTGGCTACCATTCCTTCATCCTGTCTGCTGAACTGCAGCTAGTTTTACTTACTTACTTGCACACACTGAACCGATTGTTACCTAATGGATAATTTATTAGTTTTATCACGTCTCCTTCTGCTAACTTGCTGCATGCACTTAGCTTGCATAGCCGCCTGTGACCCGGGCTGCCTGTCACAACTCCAGTCCGGCGCATGGATGACATCATACACACTCCGCTTTGTTTTAAAAAAATATATAAATATAAAAAATATAACCGCGGATTTCTGGGGGACAGCGATTCGCCTACATGTCGTTGCCCATAGGAAGACGTTACTTGGATATAACGGAATATCTTCAGAACGGCTCCAAATGACCCAAAATTATATGGGTGAGTAGAACATGATGTAATAATGTAAAATCAAGGGGCCATTGTAAAAAAAAAAATAAATAAATAAATAAAAATAAATGTTTCCCTGTAAGGTTGGGAAAGATGGCTAGATGTTCTCCAGCACTACCATCCATGTTTACTTCTGTAAACGTGAAGCACGCTGGCTTGTGGTGTCATGGCGTCCTCTACTGCGCATGCAGGACGCTTGAAGTCATATGAATGCCGTTCACACAGGTGATCACATAGAAGTCACATATATTTGGAAATGTGAACAGCAACGCAGAAAAATCTGATTTCACAAAAAATCGAAACGGAACATTAAGGCCTGCAGTGCGAAAATAGCCTTTGACTTTCACCTCCTGTTCCCCCTAAAAAAAAATATCTAACAGATGTTCATCAGTGCTTCCTTTATAGTCGTATGGAAATCATATTTAAATGTCTTTATAGGGTAAGTTACCGTTTTTGATCACTTACAAATAGAGTCCCCCCATCCCTCTGTGAGGTCAAGAAGCACAACATCTATATCCAGCCATTCAGCAGAGCTTGAAGGGGTGTCAAAAGTACACACATTTGGTACTTGAGTAAAAGTATAGATACTGCAGTTTAAAAACACTCTGGTAAAAGTTGAAGTATCAACTAGACCACTTTACTCAAGTAAACGTGAAAAAGTATGTGTTCCAAAAACTGCTTAAAGTATAAAGTAACCTTTAAAAAACAGCCAGATGCCACTGTATGAATTGAAAGCTCAATTTTTTGACTATATAGGAGGAAAATATTACGCTATTTTCACATGAAGCAGGATTTCCTGAAAAGTATCCACTCGCATGCAGGTGACTTTCTCAGGTTGGTTCCACCACCCGTATGAGAGAATCTATCCGTGTTCCATGAGCACAGAGGAGCATTGTGATATTTGGGGCCTCATAGTATTGCATCTGCACACATAGACAATTCAAAACATATTTTACATGCACGTGTTTTAAATAAAACTGCTCATATGAGTATTTACAGGGTGTTTGGACTTTTGGCAGATTTGTTACTTTATAATCAACACAATAGCTGTGTCTTGGTCCAAATTGAGCCGTTTAATATGCAACAGAATGGCTGGGAAAACTGAGAACAAAGATATTCAGCTGCTGGCAGACTCTGTCAACAGGAGATGGTTTCCTAATGGTTTGGTTCGATGCAACAGCTTAAGATTTATTCAGTTTGAATGAGGTGAGGTGAGGTTTGAATGAGGTCTTGTTGGTCTCCATCTCCCGATTCGCTCTCGCCTGTGTCTGACCTTTCAGACATTTCAACTTCTTTTTCTGAATCCAACATTGTAGCATGGCATAGACAATTCACGTTTGCAGTTTGAAGAACACCTGCTTGCTTCTGATGATTTCCCTTAGCTAACCAATGTTTGCGTTTTATGGCTCATCCAATTACACTAGTTTTTAACCTTCGCAAAATTCCATAGTCGAAAAAATGAGCTTTCAATTCATGTAGTGGCATCTGGCTGTTTTCTTTTTTT